AATGGCATACGCGATTAAAGTCGCACGCAGTGAGTCGTACAATACTGTGCCTCCAATCACTGGATCCATTTTTGATTGGGCTCAGTTGTACGAATCCCCGCTCCACCGACATTCAGGGAATCTCAATTCACAGGCCGGCCCTGATGCGCTTACCATAGGCGACTAACAGTAACTACTGGTGCAGAAAGCTTTTATACTATCGTTTCGATACTTCAGTGTCAGTCATGACTAAACTTCTTGGCCATTCTAAACCCAATGCACAATGGACATCATAATACTGTACTGACACCAACTTCACACTATTTTTACAAACACTGCTAATACACATCCGGTTACCAGCGTGTTGCTAGGTGCAAAGACATTACCATATATGGTCACTGGAGTCTGGAGTGAAAGAATCTGATGATGTCGATATCCTGGAGGCCTTGGCACGGGAAAGAGCTTGTTGTGACGGCCTGGGTGGAGGATAATCGGACAGAATGGGACGACATCCATGCACATGTACTGCGAAGAACATGTACAGTACACTCTCACCTTCACACAACCATGGCGATTTCCTTTTTCTGTGCCCTGTTCTGTGGCTGAGTGTGTCAGTCTTGTAGTGAACTAACACACTACAGCCCTGCCTCAGTTTGTTACTTTGCCTGACGATTGATAGATTCAAGAAACTGAGTATTTGCTTTCTCCATCAACCACCATGATTCCACAACGGCGCTCACCAGCCAACCTTGACAAGTAGTTGCCACAGAAGACTTTCAAGAAAGCGACACATCCATTTTGTACTCAGTCCCTTCATACAGGTGTCTCGGCGACTACCGCCGGGTATAGAACTCTCTTCAGTGAAGTTCAGAAGGTTGATTTTGTTGAATGGCTAATACATGTAGGTGGGCAAAAGCACCCCGGTTTTGTACCGAAAGGAGAAACATATTGCGCGCCCAAAGGACGAAGATTTAGGGCTAAGGAAGAGAGCAGAAAAGAGCAGAGTGCAAAGTGCCGTGATACAATAACAAAACAGAGTAAGCTGGTCATCTGAAGTGCTAGTGCTAGTAGTCACTAAATCAACGTCAACTACAATTATCAAGCCACATATCTGCAACGTCACGAGGGTGCTGGCAAAAGTCCTGCCGCCGTGCAGCCCAATACGTGGCTCAAAAACGTGATTTTTTTGACTTGCCGCGTGCTTGTGCAAAAGTCCTGCTGCACGGCGCTCAAAAACGTGATTTTTTGGACTTGGAACAAAATTCTGCACGCTTTCGCGTGTTTCCATGATACGACAAGTTGCGCACGGTCTGCTCACATTCAAATACAGTGCTGCCAACAAATGACAGCGTGCAACAAAAAAGTCTTTCCTTGCAAGGGCACATTTTAGGCCATAACTCTTGAACGGCTAGTCAGATCGGGACACAATTTTCAGAGAATTTGCACCTATTCAAGCTCTTTCAACTGACGTAGCACTCAATCTGAATTTACAAATTACTTTTTTTTCAGCGAATTTTGGGTAGTCTGCCACCTTTTAAAAGTGACTTGTCCAGTTGGCCGCTAGCGCGCTCTACATGTATAACGAAACATCTACAGTAGCAAGGGAAAATGTGGAAAATTGGCAAAAAGGTCGGGCCAATGGCATACGCGATTAAAGTCGCACGCAGTGAGTCGTACAATACTGTGCCTCCAATCACTGGATCCATTTTTGATTGGGCTCAGTTGTACGAATCCCCGCTCCACCGACATTCAGGGAATCTCAATTCACAGGCCGGCCCTGATGCGCTTACCATAGGCGACTAACAGTAACTACTGGTGCAGAAAGCTTTTATACTATCGTTTCGATACTTCAGTGTCAGTCATGACTAAACTTCTTGGCCATTCTAAACCCAATGCACAATGGACATCATAATACTGTACTGACACCAAGTTCACACTATTTTTACAAACACTGCTAATACACATCCGGTTACCAGCGTGTTGCTAGGTGCAAAGACATTACCATATATGGTCACTGGAGTCTGGAGTGAAAGAATCTGATGATGTCGATATCCTGGAGGCCTTGGCACGGGAAAGAGCTTGTTGTGACGGCCTGGGTGGAGGATAATCGGACAGAATGGGACGACATCCATGCACATGTACTGCGAAGAACATGTACAGTACACTCTCACCTTCACACAACCATGGCGATTTCCTTTTTCTGTGCCCTGTTCTGTGGCTGAGTGTGTCAGTCTTGTAGTGAACTAACACACTACAGCCCTGCCTCAGTTTGTTACTTTGCCTGACGATTGATAGATTCAAGAAACTGAGTATTTGCTTTCTCCATCAACCACCATGATTCCACAACGGCGCTCACCAGCCAACCTTGACAAGTAGTTGCCACAGAAGACTTTCAAGAAAGCGACACATCCATTTTGTACTCAGTCCCTTCATACAGGTGTCTCGGCGACTACCGCCGGGTATAGAACTCTCTTCAGTGAAGTTCAGAAGGTTGATTTTGTTGAATGGCTAATACATGTAGGTGGGCAAAAGCACCCCGGTTTAGTACCGAAAGGAGAAACATATTGCGCGCCCAAAGGACGAAGATTTAGGGCTAAGGAAGAGAGCAGAAAAGAGCAGAGTGCAAAGTGCCGTGATACAATAACAAAACAGAGTAAGCTGGTCATCTGAAGTGCTAATGCTAGTAGTCACTAAATCAACGTCAACTACAATTATCAAGCCACATATCTGCAACGTCACGAGGGTGCTGGCAAAAGTCCTGCCGCCGTGCAGCCCAATACGTGGCTCAAAAACGTGATTTTTTTGACTTGCCGCGTGCTTGTGCAAAAGTCCTGCTGCACGGCGCTCAAAAACGTGATTTTTTGGACTTGGAACAAAATTCTGCACACTTTCGCGTGTTTCCATGATACGACAAGTTGCGCACGGTCTGCTCACATTCAAATACAGTGCTGCCAACAAATGACAGCGTGCAACAAAAAAGTCTTTCCTTGCAAGGGCACATTTTAGGCCATAACTCTCGAACGGCTAGTCAGATCGGGACACAATTTTCAGAGAATTTGCACCTATTCAAGCTCTTTCAACTGACGTAGCACTCAATCTGAATTTACAAATTACTTTTTTTTCAGCGAATTTTGGGTAGTCTGCCACCTTTTAAAAGTGACTTGTCGAGTTGGCCGCTAGCGCGCTCTACATGTATAACGAAACATCTACAGTAGCAAGGGAAAATGTGGAAAATTGGCAAAAATTGGCCAATGGCATACGCGATTAAAGTCGCACGCAGTGAGTCGTACAATACTGTGCCTCCAATCACTGGATCCATTTTTGATTGGGCTCAGTTGTACGAATCCCCGCTCCACCGACATTCAGGGAATCTCAATTCACAGGCCGGCCCTGATGCGCTTACCATAGGCGACTAACAGTAACTACTGGTGCAGAAAGCTTTTATACTATCGTTTCGATACTTCAGTGTCAGTCATGACTAAACTTCTTGGCCATTCTAAACCCAATGCACAATGGACATCATAATACTGTACTGACACCAAGTTCACACTATTTTTACAAACACTGCTAATACACATCCGGTTACCAGCGTGTTGCTAGGTGCAAAGACATTACCATATATGCTCACTGGAGTCTGGAGTGAAAGAATCTTATGATGTCGATATCCTGGAGGCCTTGGCACGGGAAAGAGCTTGTTGTGACGGCCTGGGTGGAGGATAATCGAACAGAATGGGACGACATCCATGCACATGTACTGCGAAGAACATGTACAGTACACTCTCACCTTCACACAATCATGGCGATTTCCTTTTTCTGTGCCCTGTTCTGTGGCTGAGTGTGTCAGTCTTGTAGTGAACTAACACACTACAGCCCTGCCTCAGTTTGTTACTTTGCCTGACGATTGATAGATTCAAGAAACTGAGTATTTGCTTTCTCCATCAACCACCATGATTCCACAACGGCGCTCACCAGCCAACCTTGACAAGTAGTTGCCACAGAAGGTTTATCTTACTTTTCCTCAGCGCCCAGGTCAACACACTTTCGTCAACACCGGGTTTCCGCACACAATCGAATCACAGTTCAGTTTTACTCCACTCCGGAGAACACAATTATTCAGACCCATGGAACATAGGAAAATCACAACAGCTACAAACTTTGTAGAATCTAGAGCTCAGGTCCAACACAACAAGAACCAAAACATTACCACCCGGCCAGCAACATGTGCATGCGAACAACAACTCACAGAACAAAAGGCACATGCTTCCAAAACCAATACACACTCCGGCCCGGCCGGCCCGTGTCGCATATGCCAGCGATACATGCATAAAAGGAAGTACAGTGAGAAGGAAGTAACGCAGGTCACATGAAAGCGCGTAGCATTCCCACGTGTAAGCTAACACGCACCACAATCACGTATCACAGGCACAGGGCCTAGGTTTAGGGCCAGGGGACAACTACAAACTGTGCACTACGCACACATTCAAATACAGCTGTAGACACGCACTGCATAAATCTACAAGTACTCGTACAAACTGTGCAGGTCAGCGACACCTGCAGCACCTGCTGGAACAATGGCACAAGGGAGTACTAAGAGTAAGAAAACGTAACATTCCCTCCCTCATGAGCGAACGTGGGAAAACTGAGCGAATCTAATGCCTATACGATATTGGGCAAAACCGTAACTTGATACACGGCATTAACAACGGCGAGCATGCCAGTTAATGTCACTCATTGAGATCACTTAGCCGGACTTCGGCAGAGGCTGGGAGAGTCACCTTGACTGCTGACGGTTCCACATCTAGGGGCACCAAGAGGTGGACGCTGCGCTTGTACACCTTCCCTTTGACCTTCACGTCCACTACGCGCACCTTCCCGTCCTTTCCAGGATACGTAGCGACCACTCGACCAAGCGGCCACTGAGTCCTTGGGAGCGATTCGTCCAGCATCATCAGGATTTTGCCGACTGTAACCGATGCACTATCACGGTGCCACTTCGTCTCCAAATTGGCTTGAGCAACAATCTAGCGGAGCCACCTCTTCCAAATGCGCTTCATCAGATCCTGAAGCAACTGCCAGCGACGATGCAGACCCCCCTCCGGGGTTGCTTCCAACGCTGTTGCAACTCTCGAATGGCCAACCAAGAAATGCAAAGGCGTTAGCGGCTCCAGGTCTTCACTTTCCTCCGAAAGCGTTGTCAATGGCCGCGAGTTGATGAGAGCCTCGGCCTGCACCAATACTGTCTGGAGCTCTTCTTCAGTTAAATCAGCCTTGTACAGCACAGTCTGGAGAACTTGCTTCATGGAGCGCACGATCCGTTCGAACACGCCGCCGAAATGAGGAGAACGAGGCGGATTGAATTTCCACTCAATCCCTTGGCCTGCATACTCCGATGCGAGGTCGGCATGGTCAAGCTGGGCGACTGCCTCCCTCAGCTCTCGCTCTGTCGCAACAAAATTGCTTCCATTATCAGTAAGCAACATCTCGGGTGTGCCGCGACGCTTGCAGAATCGCGTCAGGGCCATCTTGAAGCCAGTCGTGTCGAGAGAGGTAACCAGCTCCAAGTGACACGCTCGAGATTGCAGACACGTGAACACTGCCACATACCTCTTCTCTTGTGTACGTCCTCGACCTCTCTTCACTAGAAATGGTCCGGCGAAGTCCACAGCGGTGCGGGCGAATGCCAGAAGTGGTCCTTGCGTGCGGAGGTCTGGGAGAGGACCCATCCTGGGAGTGGCTGGTTTGCGCCACACCTTCTGACATCCCACGCAGTGGTGCCGATGTGACTTCACCATTTGCTTGCCTTTCACAAGCCAGTAGTGATCGGCGAGATTGGACAGGATGTGATTCGTGCCAATGCTGTTTCGGCATCGCTCATCCTCTCTCCGAATGATCAGCTCTGTCACTCGGTGTCGAGGTGGGAGAATAATTGGCGATCGAAACTCAGATGCCAAGTGGTAAGCCGTACGCAGTCTCCCACTAACTCTTAATACGGGGTATCCACTCTGTTCGTCGATGCGCGGTTGCAACTGGAGAAGAGGGGCACTGCTTGGCAACTCCTTCCCTTTTCTCAGCGTGCTGGTCACTTCACCATAGCTCTCATCTTGCGCACGCATGATCCAATAGTGCTCCGCTCTTTCAAACTCAGCTGGTGAGAGCTCGGGCACGGCAACCTCCTTGCTGTTCTTGATTGCAATCTTCACACGGGCGTCGCTGAGCGTTAGCTGTGGCAGTCGGCTCTTGCGGCGATTGTGTATGGCACGCATGCACCAAGCCGTGACCCGCACAAGACGGCTCCACGAGGAATAGTTGTTTGGACTTAGCCGCAACGGTGGTGACATCATTGCCGTCATCGTGATTTCAGGAGTCTTGAGCATTTGTGGTAGCTCCTTCGGCACAGCTATCCTGCGATCTGGCCATTCGCTCTGTTGCTGTGCCAGAAACGTTGGTCCATGCCACCACCTGCTCTCGTCTGCCAGCTGTGTGACTGTCATCCCACGGGTGGGGAGATCCGCTGGATTTCTGACTCCGGGAACATGACGCCAGTTCCGTGCCATAGACTGCTGTTGGATCTCCGATATCCGGTTGCCGACTTCCAGCTTGAACTTTCGGCTGGGTGATCGAATCCAATATTGGACATTCATGGAATCGCTCCAGTAGTGGCTGTCGGCTGCTCTCACACCAAGAGCTTCGCTAACGTACGTCCCAAGACGCACACCCAGGACCGCTCCCTGCAGCTCTAGCATCGGAATGGATCGACGCTTGATCGGTGCTGGTCTTGCCTTGGCCATCACCAGGGTAACCTTCGCTGTACCATCTGGTCGCTCTGCTCGGACGTATGACGCAGCGGCGTAGGCCCGTTCTGATGCGTCGGTGAACGTGTGCACACTCAGACCCATCGACGTTGTGCTATCTTGAAAACAGCGATCAATGCGTAGCTGTGTTAGCTTAGGCATCTCAGCAAACCATTCTTGCCAAGCTACCACCGTCTCTTCAGGCAGTGGGTCGTCCCAGCCGAGCCCCGCAAGACATAGTTCCTGGAACAACAACTTGCTCCTGATGGTGAATGGTGCTAGTTGCCCTCTGGGGTCAAACAGTGATGCCATGCGACTGAGGACGGTGCGCTTCGTGCACGCAGCGGATGTGGGTTCCTGATAGTGAAACGTGAAATAATCTTCGCTGACCATCCACGTTACGCCCAGTGCCTTTTGTGAGGGCTGTCCAGACGACTCTTGTGCCGTTATGGACTTAGACGTGGCCGGCGCGCGGTGCTCCGGTGGAATTGATTCCATCACTGCTTCACTGTTGCTCAACCACTTCCGGAGATGGAAGCCGCCTTTCTTCAGGAGGTCTTGTAGCTGAGACCGAAGACGCATTGCTTTCTGGTCGTCAGGCAAGGACTTCAACATGTCGTCGACGTAGAATGCCTTGCGAACTGTGTCACTGACTGCTGGGTCGTAGTTCGCTCCGAAACGCTCGGCCGTCTCCAACAAAGCTCTGCCTGCTAGGTATGGCGATGCACGGATGCCAAACGCCAACCTGGTGAACTCATAGGCCTTGACTCCGTCCCCGGTCTTCCAAAGAAATCGGTGATATCTGCGATCTTCAGGCTGTAGTGACACCTGAAGGAACATCTCCGACACATCAGCAATCAGTGCCACGGGGTGCATGCAGAACCGGATCAGTACTGTGACGAGATCATTCTGCAGTCGCGGCCCAGCGTACATGTGTTCATTGATGGACGTGCCGTTGAAGCGAGCTGCAGCATCAAACACAACACGGACCTTAGTTGTAGCCTTGTCTTCGCGGACTACTGCGAAGTGCGGCAGAAACCATTGCTCACGGCCACATTGCTGGACTTGATCAGATGTCAGCTCCTGAATGTACGCCTTCTGTAGGTACTCCTCTAGCACCTTTGCATAGCGAATCTGAACGGTTGGTCTTCTCTCTAGAGACCTCAGTAGCGAACGCAGCCGATCCTCGGCCTGCACTCGGTTGCTCGTGATCTGAGGACGCGCTCCATTCTGCCAGGGAATACCGACAACGAATCGACCATCTGCGTACCCTAGCTGCTGTCGAGTCATTTCCTCAGCATGGCGTTCGTCAGGTGACAGGTAGCTCTCAGCAGACGGTTGCATGCCGACCGCTTCCAAGTCCCAGAAGTTACGGACAAGCGAGTCGAGACCTGTCTGTGTTAGTTCCAGGGCATGATGGGTGTGCTGGACAGAGCTGTCTTGTATGGCTGAACCGAAACAGACCCATCCCAAGGGTGTGCGCCTTGCAATGGGCTCACCTGCCTTGCCAATCCGTTCTTCCTGTGCACTGTGCAGTGCTGCTGAATTTAGCCCGATTAGGATGTCGATGGCGCGTTGATTGCTTGCAGCAGGGAAATCAATGTCTGCTAGATGTGGCCACTGGTGACGCAGACGGCTCCAATCAGCAACGTGCACGTCGCTTGTGATCTTTGGCAGCACATATGCCTCAACTTCTGATATCTCCTGGCTGTCATATTGATGAAGGGACAGAGACACCACCTCTCGCTCGCCTGAGAGAACTTGACCGCCTAGCACACCAACATGCACTGGCTTGCGCTCTCCTCGCAGCCGTAGTCGGTGTGCAAGCCTCTCTGTGACAAAGCTGCATGTTGATCCAGAGTCAAGAAGGACGTTGGCTGTGGCAGTCACTGTTCCATTAGCGACCCTCACCGGTATCGTCATGAATGAGGTCAAGCCGGCCTCGTCGTCATTGGCTGGCTGGGATTCGCTGTTCACATGGTGGCTAGCCTCTTTTCGCGTTGGTGGTGATGGTGTAAAACTGCCTTGTCGTTCACGGTGCAGTAAATGATGATGCTTGCCTTGACACTCTCGGCACACCGCTGCCATGCAGTCTTGTGCCCAGTGCCCATTTCCCAGGCAGTTGACGCATAGCCGTAGGTTCCGGATCGTGTCATTTCTCTTTTGCACGGGCAGACTCTTGAATTCGCCACAATCTGCAATATGGTGTGCACCCTCGCACTTACCACAGGCATGGCTGTTGTCTGCATGCTGTCTTTGCTCTGAGGCAGCTTGCTCTTTTCTGGAGTTGCTGCGGCTGCTAGAAGCGACCAAGTTACGTTTCGGCCCAGGCTGTGACGAGTCGCTTGATCGTGGAGTCCCAGGACTGGAGATAAACGCGCGCTCCCTGACTCCATATTGCCTGCTGGGCAACGGCCGATTACTCTTGTTCTGGTGCTCCTTGGGCTGCAGTGATACTGGTGGGCGGTCTCCCAGGCCAATTCGTTCCTCAACACGCATCTGCTTCTGGACGTGTGTTATTAGGAATTGCGAGAATGCCTGTATGTCACAGCTGGAATCATCATAACGATTGAAGTAGCGTGCCAGGAGCCGTCGAGGAATCTTCCGGGTTAGCGCCAGGTATAACTCTCTGCCTGGCTGCACCTGGACTGCTTCCATGTTAAGCAGGGTATTGCGGAGCCGAATGGCGAACTTTTTCAGCTGGCTGACGTCACGCTCATTGGTCAAGACTGGCCACTCCATGAGCTCTCTTTCCTGGTTGTTCAGCTCTCGGTCTTGGCCACCGTACCAGCGTTCCAACTCGGCCATGATTGCTTTATATGCGCCAGGTCCATCCAAGACATCAGCAATCAGCTCTTCTGCAGAACCATCAGCAAGGGCCTCCCTCAGATGCGCAAGCTTGTGGTTCTCCGACATCGCGTAACTGTCGTCAATCAGCCGAAGGAAACGCTGCCGCCACTTCAGGTAGCTTTTCACCTTCCCATCAAACTTGGGGAGCTCTAACGCCTTCAGGTGACTGGTAACAGCATAAGGCGAGTTCCATGGCATGAATCCAGGCGATGCCATCTGGTGTCCAGGCAGTGCCAGCTGAGGTCCAGGCAACAGTGTTTGCTTCGCTGGTTGGAACGGCACTGCTCCAGGGTTGAGTGAGAGTGTCTCAGTCATGGCACTGCACAGTGAAGCTGCTTGCTCGGCTTTGTCCTTGTTCTTCTGTTGTTTTTTTCCGATTTTTTCTTCTTCGGAGTCATCAGTCTTCTCGGTGCAGCGGGGCTTGGCTGGGCCTGTCCACTTGCTTCCAGCAGCATTGGACGCACGGCGCTACCAAGCACATGGACTTGCTGCAGCTGCTGCTGCCGTGGCGGCTGTGACGGCGGCTGCTGCTGCTGCTGTGACGGCGGCTGCTGCTGCTGCTGCATATGTACTGGCTGGGTAGTGCAGGCAGCTCCGTCTCTGGACGCAACTCCTGCGTTGGCCAGAGCACGTGTAGCAACACGCCTGGAAGCAGGCCCATAGTGACTAACAGTACTACTATCAGTGTGCCGGCTGTTATCACTTTCACCACTACTGCCGGCGTTAGTTGTAGTTCCAGTAGTTGTAGAGTCACCAGCAGTGTCACTACTTGAGGCGCTACTGGATGACACATAGTGGTCTGACTCTTCAGACACACCGTCAACGACGTCCGGGACATTCTGCGATAGCTGAGCAGCTGCTGTTCCTGCTACCAGTGTATTCACATTTTCAACACTGGTGCGCGCGAGTGGTAACGGAGGATCAGTCGTAAACCTACTACCGGTAACTGCACTGTCCGACTCCGCTCGTGGTGGCATACAAGATCGCAGAGTCGCACTTGCGCCGTCACGACTTCGTTGGAAGACCACGTCCCCGTCCGAAGCAATTTCTCTACGAGGCGACGGGCTAGCTCCTGCCGCCGACTCGTGCGCAGATTCTTCTTCGGAACGAGCTTGCTCCAAGGCTTGCCGTTTCTGCAGGACAGCTAACTTACTCTGCAGAACTTGTTCCTGCAGTGCAGCAATCTCTTCTGCCACTCGCACTTCGGCCTCTGCCCTTTTTCTGGCCACTCGAGCTCTCTCCAATTCTACGAGTTCAGTGCTCCCAGGACTGGCACGAGTACTCGAGCGCTCACTTCCAGAAAATCCATATCGCCTGGGTTCCTTTCCTTTCGTCGATCTGTGGCTGATACGCCGCTCCTCACTCATGGCGACGACTCTCAGCAACCACGGAAAGGCAAAAGGATCCCGTCGGAGGTGCCAGTTTATGTTACTTTTCCTCAGCGCCCAGGTCAACACACTTTCGTCAACACCGGGTTTCCGCACACAATCGAATCACAGTTCAGTTTTACTCCACTCCGGAGAACACAATTATTCAGACCCATGGAACATAGTAAAATCACAACAGCTACAAACTTTGTAGAATCTAGAGCTCAGGTCCAACACAACAAGAACCAAAACATTACCACCCGGCCAGCAACATGTGCATGCGAACAACAACTCACAGAACAAAAGGCACATGCTTCCAAAACCAATAGGCAATACACACTCCGGCCCGGCCGGCCCGTGTCACATATGCCAGCGATACATGCATAAAAGGAAGTACAGTGAGAAGGAAGTAACGCAGGTCACATGAAAGCGCGTAGCATTCCCATGTGTAAGCTAACACGCACCACAATCACGTATCACAGGCACAGGGCCTAGGCCTAGGCTAGGGCCAGGGGACAACTACAAACTGTGCACTACGCACACATTCAAATACAGCTGTAGACACGCACTGCATAAATCTACAAGTACTCGTACAAACTGTGCAGGTCAGCGACACCTGCAGCATCTGCTGGAACAATGGCACAAGGGAGTACTAAGAGTAAGAAAACGTAACAACTAACTTTCAAGAAAGCGACACATCCATTTTGTACTCAGTCCCTTCATACAGGTGTCTCGGCGACTACCGCCGGGTATAGAACTCTCTTCAGTGAAGTTCAGAAGGTTGATTTTGTTGAATGGCTAATACATGTAGGTGGGCAAAAGCACCCCGGTTTTGTACCGAAAGGAGAAACATATTGCGCGCCCAAAGGACGAAGATTTAGGGCTAAGGAAGAGAGCAGAAAAGAGCAGAGTGCAAAGTGCCGTGATACAATAACAAAACAGAGTAAGCTGGTCATCTGAAGTGCTAGTGCTAGTAGTCACTAAATCAACGTCAACTACAATTATCAAGCCACATATCTGCAACGTCACGAGGGTGCTGGCAAAAGTCCTGCCGCCGTGCAGCCCAATACGTGGCTCAAAAACGTGATTTTTTTGACTTGCCGCGTGCTTGTGCAAAAGTCCTGCTGCACGGCGCTCAAAAACGTGATTTTTTGGACTTGGAACAAAATCCTGCACACTTTCGCGTGTTTCCATGATACGACAAGTTGCGCACGGTCTGCTCACATTCAAATACAGTGCTGCCAACAAATGACAGCGTGCAACAAAAAAGTCTTTCCTTGCAAGGGCACATTTTAGGCCATAACTCTTGAACGGCTAGTCAGATCGGGACACAATTTTCAGAGAATTTGCACCTATTCAAGCTCTTTCAACTGACGTAGCACTCAATCTGAATTTACAAATTACTTTTTTTTCAGCGAATTTTGGGTAGTCTGCCACCTTTTAAAAGTGACTTGTCCAGTTGGCCGCTAGCGCGCTCTACATGTATAACGAAACATCTACAGTAGCAAGGGAAAATGTGGAAAATTGGCAAAAAGGTCGGGCCAATGGCATACGCGATTAAAGTCGCACGCAGTGAGTCGTACAATACTGTGCCTCCAATCACTGGATCCATTTTTGATTGGGCTCAGTTGTACGAATCCCCGCTCCACCGACATTCAGGGAATCTCAATTCACAGGCCGGCCCTGATGCGCTTACCATAGGCGACTAACAGTAACTACTGGTGCAGAAAGCTTTTATACTATCGTTTCGATACTTCAGTGTCAGTCATGACTAAACTTCTTGGCCATTCTAAACCCAATGCACAATGGACATCATAATACTGTACTGACACCAAGTTCACACTATTTTTACAAACACTGCTAATACACATCCGGTTACCAGCGTGTTGCTAGGTGCAAAGACATTACCATATATGGTCACTGGAGTCTGGAGTGAAAGAATCTGATGATGTCGATATCCTGGAGGCCTTGGCACGGGAAAGAGCTTGTTGTGACGGCCTGGGTGGAGGATAATCGGACAGAATGGGACGACATCCATGCACATGTACTGCGAAGAACATGTACAGTACACTCTCACTCACCTTCACACAATCATGGCGATTTCCTTTTTCTGTGCCCTGTTCTGTGGCTGAGTGTGTCAGTCTTGTAGTGAACTAACACACTACAGCCCTGCCTCAGTTTGTTACTTTGCCTGACGATTGATAGATTCAAGAAACTGAGTATTTGCTTTCTCCATCAACCACCATGATTCCACAACGGCGCTCACCAGCCAACCTTGACAAGTAGTTGCCACAGAAGACTTTCAAGAAAGCGACACATCCATTTTGTACTCAGTCCCTTCATACAGGTGTCTCGGCGACTACCGCCGGGTATAGAACTCTCTTCAGTGAAGTTCAGAAGGTTGATTTTGTTGAATGGCTAATACATGTAGGTGGGCAAAAGCACCTCGGTGTTGTACCGAAAGGAGAAACATATTGCGCGCCCAAAGGACGAAGATTTAGGGCTAAGGAAGAGAGCAGAAAAGAGCAGAGTGCAAAGTGCCGTGATACAATAACAAAACAGAGTAAGCTGGTCATCTGAAGTGCTAGTGCTAGTAGTCACTAAATCAACGTCAACTACAATTATCAAGCCACATATCTGCAACGTCACGAGGGTGCTGGCAAAAGTCCTGCCACCGTGCAGCCCAATACGTGGCTATAAAACGTGATTTTTTTGACTTGCCGCGTGCTTGTGCAAAAGTCCTGCTGCACGGCGCTCAAAAACGTGATTTTTTGGACTTGGAACAAAATTCTGCACACTTTCGCGTGTTTCCATGATACGACAAGTTGCGCACGGTCTGCTCACATTCAAATACAGTGCTGCCAACAAATGACAGCGTGCAACAAAAAAGTCTTTCCTTGCAAGGGCACATTTTAGGCCATAACTCTTGAACGGCTAGTCAGATCGGGACACAATTTTCAGAGAATTTGCACCTATTCAAGCTCTTTCAACTGACGTAGCACTCAATCTGAATTTACAAATTACATTTTTTCAGCAAATTTTGGGTAGTCTGCCACCTTTTAAAAGTGACTTGTCCAGTTGGCCGCTAGCGCGCTCTACATGTATAACGAAACATCTACAGTAGCAAGGGAAAATATTGAAAATTGGCAAAAAGGTCGGGCCAATGGCATACGCGATTAAAGTCGCACGCAGTGAGTCGTACAATACTGTGCCTCCAATCACTGGATCCATTTTTGATTGGGCTCAGTTGTACGAATCCCCGCTCCACCGACATTCAGGGAATCTCAATTCACAGGCCGGCCCTGATGCGCTTACCATAGGCGACTAACAGTAACTACTGGTGCAGAAAGCTTTTATACTATCGTTTCGATACTTCAGTGTCAGTCATGACTAAACTTCTTGGCCATTCTAAACCCAATGCACAATGGACATCATAATACTGTACTGACACCAAGTTCACACTATTTTTACAAACACTGCTAATACACATCCGGTTACCAGCGTGTTGCTAGGTGCAAAGACATTACCATATATGGTCACTGGAGTCTGGAGTGAAAGAATCTGATGATGTCGATATCCTGGAGGCCTTGGCACGGGAAAGAGCTTGTTGTGACGGCCTGGGTGGAGGATAATCGGACAGAATGGGACGACATCCATGCACATTTTTTTTTTTTTTTTTTTTTTTTTTACTGAATACCACAGTACCATCAGATGCTGCACAGCGGGGGCGGTGGCATATTGGATGGAAGTGGGGGCGGGGCAAAAGTAACTCCTCCGACCAAAGGTCTCGGAATCATTGTTACTCCTGTGCGCCGATACATAGGAGAAAAGAAATATGTGCATCCAAGAGGGGAGCACTGGCTTTGCAAACGATAATGGGGAGAATTTGAGATTGGGATAGGACAAAACAATAGTAAAAGCAGTGCACCGTAGGAAGATGGAGTGAACTGATAATCGGGTTTTAAGGCTGAGCGAAGGGGATCAAAGAGGGGTAGAAGGGAGCTGGAGTGCGGTCAGTATAATTAGGCTGGTGTGTTGGCAGAGATCATAGCCTGTCTGTGGCCCACTCCCACTTGCTGCGCCGCAAGTGGTCGTTGGCGTTTTTCTTGAACGTGTGCATGCCTCTGCGAGAAGGGGGAGACTGCAGAAGGGTAGGTGGGAGCTGATTCCACGTTTCGATGAGGGAGTGGGGAAATGAGCGGAGCGTGTTGTTTCTTGCCTGAGGGGGAAGGATACTGGTGAGTTGCGATGGATGATGTGTTGCAGATCTGGTTGTCGCTCGAGTAGGCATGCGGTGTTGCGGTGCGGCTGCTGATGGTGGCAGAATGGCTTTCACCATTTCCGGACCCTCCACAAAGTGCAGCTTGTACAGAAAGCAGAGCCCTGCTACGGTACGGCGAATGTCGAGGCTCGGGAGGTATGCTCCATCTCCAATTATGTGCAGGGCACGGCGCTGGATGGCAGTGAGGCGGGCCAAGGTGGTGGGGGCTGCGCTCATCCACACCAGCATGCCATACTCTAGCACGGGGCGGACAAAGCCACGGTACACGATTGCCCGGTGCTTTGGGTCTAGCACAGCCGATGCCTTACGGAGGAAGCCGAGCCGCTGGGCTCCGCGTACTGCAAGCTGTCGGATATGGCTGCGGAATGCCAGCTGCCTGTCGAAGGTGACGCCAAGAAGCTTGAGCTCCTCTACTTCTGGCACGACATGTACTGCGAAGAACATGTACAGTACACTCTCACTCACCTTCACACAATCATGGCGATTTCCTTTTTCTGTGCCCTGTTCTGTGGCTGAGTGTGTCAGTCTTGTAGTGAACTAACACACTACAGCCCTGCCTCAGTTTGTTACTTTGCCTGACGATTGATAGATTCAAGAAACTGAGTATTTGCTTTCTCCATCAACCACCATGATTCCACAACGGCGCTCACCAGCCAACCTTGACAAGTAGTTGCCACAGAAGACTTTCAAGAAAGCGACACATCCATTTTGTACTCAG